GGAAAGCATTGGGGTAATATATGCCTGTTGAGGGCAATGAGACAGGTAGATTTTCCTGCAGCCTCCTCCTATCGGCTTTCCATTGCTTGTCCATTGGCTAACACCAGCTCCTCTGTTCAGGAATGTTTATTGGTTCAAGTCCCTCCTAATTAATGCAAAAAGATTTATGGGGACCCATGTTACAGAGATCCCTAGAAATAACATGCAGAGTTAGTTACTAATCACACCTGAGCTAATTTTGATTAAAATTCATGCTAATTATAATGAGCACTTAGACAACACTTCTCCTCACAGGACCTCCAAGTGCTTTGCAGATATGAGTTAAAGCAGTGAGGCACCGAGAGCAAATAGTCTTTTGCACATGGGAGAGCAAGAGTGAATTGGCCAGGGTCCCACAGCAAGCCACTGTTGGACCTGAGCTGAAAACAGACACTCAACCTTTGGCTCCGGCTACCAGATGATAGCAAACTTGCTTACACTTAATTTTACTCAGGACACACAGACTTCAGTAGGACCTCTGATGCGAGTACAGCTAAATACCTGTGTTAGCAAAAGCAGGATCCACTGACCTACACTGCACTGCTCATGTACAAAACCCTCATATACATTTTGGTTAGACATACATGTATTTGGGGGCTATTCACATACACAGTGCCGGATTTGGGGGAAGAACCTAGAATTCGTTGATACCCAGAGCCACGAGACATGCTTCTTTTCTTGGAAAACTCCAAATTTGGATTTTCAACAAAAACATCCCATGCCTTTTTGTGCAGAAGACTCAGAAGGGGATTGGACGTGGAGTAAATTGAATCTATTTTCATTGACTGATTTGAGCAACATAAATCGAAGTAGCAGTAAATCACTTCTGGGAAGACTTTCCATTCTTACAGTCTAAGGTATTACTTGTAACACACAGGTGGATACGTTGGTTTTCTCCTGATTATCGCTTTTTGATATTAGCCCTCAAAATACCATTGCAGTGAGTAGCACAGGCAAGACATGCGCAAGAGGAAAAAAAACCAAACTGAAGGCAAACACCTGAAGAGAAGGTTGCCAATTCATACTTGTGACTTGCTGAAGCAGAATACATGTTTTCCAGTCAAAATGCAAAAACATGCGCACTAAGATTTAAGAGAGAGAAAAAGATACCTTAACAAGCCCTGCTTCAGACCCATCCCGGTCAAAGGTCTGACGGGCTTTGGCAATAGCCAGGATCACACCTTGCATGGCTGGACTAAGCATCACCTACCACAAGCGCAAAGGATGGAAAAAGAGAGAAAGAGAGGGGGGTGAGGAATGAAAAGCTATTGTAATGAAAGGAAAGTTCAAAAAGAAAATGGTTTAAGGACAATTTTTCAAAGATGGAAACAGGTAGGGCAACTCAGAGGTGTCATAGACTTGGCACTTATTTTCACTAGAATTACTCTGGGATGTCCCAGCTGTCGCACGTGCTGCCCAAGCTGCTACAGAAGTAGGAAGACTTCCCTGCAGCACCCCAACCATTCCTCCTCCAGGTTCGTATTCAACAGCCCATGAGAGTGCCAAGCACGCTAACCACGACCCCAGTTCATCCCCTTCAGAGTCTTGCAAAAGTATCTAACAGCCGAGCAGGGCCCGAGGCAAGGCATTCCAGCGTGCTACCTTCGCACCACGAGCACATACTGAACTCACTCCGGTCATAAACAGCGCAGCACAAACGCTCGGAAGATCTTCGAGACGCAGCAGAAATGCTGGTTCATGTGAAGGTCAATGCTAAACTAACAGCAAACCCTATAAATGCCCACGTAAACTGCCTGAACACTTCCAGTATCTTGCAGACGCATCTATACGTGAAGCGCATTTGCAGTTAGAGAAGACACTGAGATGTTTATCATGTGCTATCTGAGTTCCAGTTTTACTTGTCAGCACCGAGAGGACATATCTGGGGTTGGACAAGTCCTAGTGTATTCAGCGTGTTTTACATTATCAGCTGACAATTCAGATGATATGCGACAGGCAGAATCAACCTCTTGGGTAAAAAAAAGAGTAAAAGTCTAAGTAAAGGACAGAGTCCTAGGAACACCTTAGATATAGATTCGAGTGACAGGAAGGAAAAAAAAAGAGGAAAAGGGGGCTTAAAGGCACAGCGAGAGGAGCTATGGAGTACGGGGTTTGTTTTTACAAAGTCACACTCCTAATAGCTTTAAAAATAAATCACCTGTTAATTAACTGGCCTAACCTGGCTGCTTGCTACCGATGGGGGGTGTAACCCAAGCTGCCCCAATGTCCCAGATCTCATAACAACCCCAAGACCACCTGTGCCTCCCAAGTTCCTGATAACGACAGCAATAACAGGCTCCCATGCTGCTGTACCTCCTCGTTATATCCGTCTGCGTCAGATCTAACCAGAATCTTCCCCACACTAGGGATCTCCACTTCAGAGACCTGCGAGCCAGGCTGGGCAGCAGACTCTGTCCCTTTAGCATCCTGTTGCTGTTCTGCCTGAGCTTTAGGGGCTGTTGCGCTTGGCAGGGCCTTTGCTGGTTCAGCCTCCTCCAGCTGTGGCAGCAGACAGAAGAGAGAGAAAGAGAGAGGAGAGTAAGAAACACAAAAACCCTGGAAAGCAGAAGGGAGCTGAATGAAAAGACGCAGAGCTACAGAGATCTAGGCAGGGTAGAAATTTGTTAATGGGTGGATGCAAAGACTAGAGCTGGCTGCTTTGTGGGCCCCGCTGCAGTGTCCTCACCTTGCACAGAGCCACCTCCACACCATTCTTCTCGTAGGCATCCGCTGTGTTGGCAATGGCCTGGGCGGTCTGCTCCTTCGCCATCATGGCGTGTTGGGAAGACAGCGAGTGCAGGTCAGGCTCGCAGGCTGAAGGCTGGTCTGATTGGAAGTGGAAAGAGATGCTGGCGTTACCGAGAAGATACAAATCCAGAGGGACAAAATGGGAAATGGCAGCCAGGGCGGATGGCTGCGGGGTACCGCTCCTTTGAGCTTATCAGGCGCACCAACTGACTTCACTGCCCTGTTCATGAATCCATACAGCTGCTCTTTCTACAGCGCTGCAAGGGCCACAGGCCTCCTTTGTTACTCAGACCAGCTGAGCTCTCCCAACACCCAGCTCCCGGGATGGGTGCTGTAGCAGAAGCATCGGGGTTCTGCTGAAGACCTGATCTAGTAAAACACGCAAGTAAGAGGAATTCCCTGCTGACAACAACAGCAAAGCTCAAGCATTGAAGGCTGTGCACATGCTTGGGGTGCAGGAGCTTCTCAACCGGAGCCTCAGCCCTTTTGCACAGCTCAGGAGGTCCTCAGTCGAGAATAAATACCTCAGCCATTCAGCTGCTCATTACTGCAATAATTTTTGGGTCCCTCCAGAATTGTGGCTTTCACAAAACATTCAGCGAGTCTTTCTGTCGAATGCTGCGTCACATGGCAAACCGGGACCTCCAGCTGCACATCACGGTGGCCTCTGAAGCATGATAGTTAATCCTATCCGGGATGTACTGATCAACCAGCTCCCTACATTGCCCCTTCCAGTTCCAAGTATACGAAACTCTTCCTCACCTCCTGTAGCACTGCTGTGCAGTTTGATATCTGCTGCATTTCAACAGCAACATCTCACACTGGCAGGTTTGTGAAACTCTTGGACATCAGAGAGATGCAGGCTATCAAGAAGAGCGTGAAGTGGGAGTTTCCCACCCAACAGTTTACCCCGCACAGGTACAAAACATCACAGTGTAATTAAATCAGAGGGAGATTAGATCTTCTACTATTATCTGACTGCAAAACCACATTTCACCAGACACTTACAGGCCTGTAGCTCTGTTGGTAGCTTTCCCCAAACTTTCAAATGTGTTTAAAAAGGCTCTGATCAAAGTGGGATTTGCTCCGTGCAGGCAGTCCCTACAGTCCCAACAAGGTCTGCAGCTGCAGAAATGTCACACCAACCTGGTCCTGATTCAGAAAAGAAATCCTGAGATTCAGAAGCAGACGATGGCTCGATCTGAGGGATCTTGCAGGACTGCTCCCCTTCCCATTCCTCCACCTCCTGCTCAAGCCTCCAGTTGTCCTCTTGTATGTAATGCTTCAGTTCAGGTGGCAGGTCTTCAACTTCCTTCTGGAATTGCCCAGCCCCTGCATCATCATCTGTTGCACAAACAAGACTTTTATTTGGCAAGACTAGACATGGGAGCAAGGTAACATTATTGTCCAACGAGGGGAATCTTGAAATATGGCAGAAGATTAGCATCTATCCTGAGTTCACTGAGCTCACTGAAAGTATTGGTCAAAATTTCAAGAGGGAGATATTTAACTTTACAAAGGGCAACTATGGATGGGACTTATATGGCGGGAGCTAGAATACAGCATTTCATTTTTTTTTTCATTTGGCCTTAGCCAATTTACAACCGCTCCGAGTCTCATTTTTCCCGTCTGCAAAATGGGGACAATACTTTCTAGCTACAACAGGTATTAGGAGGCTAAAAGAGCATCTGCTGCTAGAGAGACCACATGTGACACAAGCAACTAAGACAACTAGGGGCTTTGAGTCCAGTACCTGCAACGTAGCGTGGCATCTTATCCTTTATGTACATCAGGCAGTAGGCACTGGCATTCTTCAGGCCTCCAAACGAATCTCTCTCCAGCTCTTCCCATGATGATTCTGTCACTGAGATGTCATTGTATTTAAGCCAGCTCTTCCGGGGCTGGTCATAGATATAGGCCCAGTAATGACCTGCATTTGCTTGGCCTTCATGAACCAGGACTGCATGCAAACGATAAGGAACCTGAAAGTTCACAAGGACAAGATTTCCAGGCTTATTTTAAGCAGATTAAGTAATGCGATCTCTACGGAAATCTAGAATGACATTTGCAGCTGTCGTAATGTCGAAGAATTGTCCATTCATACGTTGGACTGATGAATACAGATTCCTTTTCTCTTGGTGAGCTCACTTTAAAACAGTCTCCCACCAGTGTTTGCAGCATCTACTGGCAATTGGACCCCAGCTAAGGGAGGGACAGAGTGGTGGCAATTATTTGCAAGGCATCCGTAAGGAAGACTATGCTGAATGAGAGAAATGTGCTGGAAGGGAACTGTACTGTTGCTCTACTGAGACAGAGTTCAGACTTGCAGGGCCTTTGCACAATCCACATATATCTATGAATCTGAAAACCTTGTCTTATCATGGGCAGGAGTGTGCAAAACAGTGACAAGTGACAACAGGCAACACCCAAATGCATTATGATGAATTCATTGCTAGGTTAATAGATTCTATTATTGCCTGATGGAAAACGCTGTTCTAAATTAACTATCCCCCTCTTCAGAAAGGCAGGGTTTTGCTTTCAAAGCAAGCCCTGTGATACATTTAGAGTGTCGCCCCGTCCTCCCACACACACGCTTGTGTACAAACATGCAACTCTCACTAACAGCAAATGTAGCTTGTATGCACACATCAGTATAAACTTCAAGCACGCTTGTGTTTTACGCTAACCAAGTCACACTGCGTACCTGACGGAGGAGAGGGTCACAATACATCTTCTCAATGGACTGGCTGATTCGGGCAATAGAGTCCTTCAAATCTGTTAAGAAGAGCATGCACGAGGAAGTTAGCAACTTGAGGTTTCACAGCATCCCCTCCTTCCCAAAAATACAGGGCTTCACACTGAAACTAGTCCTTAGATGCCTATATGATATTATGGGGGAATTTAGGTGTCTAAGTCCTGAAGAGCAAATACAAATGGCCTTTCACCAGCAGCTCTAAGTAGCATTGGGTGTCTAAATGCATTAGATGCCGTGCTTTCAGGCTGCTGAATTTCACAGGCATCAACGCTAGGGTTTCTGCGCACACAGTGCCCAACTCCTTCTTAGCCCTATTGCTGTTCAAAATGATGCTGGGGCTTCTCAACTCCACAGAAAAGGAAGCAGAAAACAAATATGGACACCTCTAACTCACATCAGCACTGAGTTCAGCTGAAAACAGCTGCTGGCATCCACCTTTTGCCCAAGCATCTAGTGGCTGGAGAAATGCCCAGTGGCAATCTGGGTTCTGGGCCCACTTGAGCCAGAGGGGACTTGGGACAAGCCCCACTTCCTACCACCTTGGCTTAACCACTGCGATATGGAATAGCATAGGGGAGGCCACTCGCTGCCTGCCCATTAAACCTGGACTGCTGGATGGACAAGCGGGGCTGAGCCTAAAGCAAGCGAGCAGGGGGAGCCTGCCTCCACAAGCTAGCGGTCCCCAGCTCTCTTCTGGGAAAGCTCCAGTCCCCATTCCCGGCACTGATGGTGCAGATTTCATTATGCCATCACTGATTAACCCACAGAAATAACCCTGGCAGCTGGGACCGGGACCCTCCCAAGTGCAGCACGTTGCATCTGCACCCAGTGCCGCAGGGCAGCCCTGCTGGGGTGGGAGCATAGCTCACGAATTCTCCAGCAGAAGGGAATCGAGTCTGGCGCATAGTTGAAATACTTGACAAACTCTCTGGACCAACCTTGAATGTCCTGTTCAATCTCACTCCTCCAGCGCTGCAGGCACGTCCGAACCAGGCTCATTTCCTCCTCGGTGGCCACGTGAGGGGCTGGGCGCTCAGGCACTTTCGTCAGCGAAGCCGAGGAGTGGACCGGCTTGCTCACTGGTTCTGGCTGCGGCGGGGTGTCTGCTGGAGCAGAGGCCGCATCTTCAGGTTTCTCAGCATCCTCCATTTTTAATGCACTACGAAGCAAAAGCCAAGATGGATGGACAGGTTATCCAGGCTGCCACCACCAGCGAAATCACTCCAGAGGGCAATCTTTTAACCGTCCAATAAAAAAAACCAAACCCCAAACCACTTGAGATGTGAATGAGCAGTTCCCTTCTCAGAGTTTCCCCAGCCTGTATCGGTGATTATTCAGAAGACGCATGCCCAGCCTGTATCGGTGATTATTCAGAAGACAGCCCATCTACAAGCGTATTCACCTGCAGCCCCTTCCTGGAAGACTAGATCCCTGGACAACACGTGATACAAGGTCTTGCACGGCTCGTTCCTTCCACACTCGGGTGCAGAACTGCCAAACACAGACGCTGGCAAGTCCTTTCCCGTTGTGCTACAGAACTCATTCTTTCTCTGCTTTAATTTGGAGTGCAAACCAAGCATGGTGGGCAGGTGTGTGATCATTCATATTGCCCTACTTCAATGGCTGAAGAAACAAAAATGACCACCCTATGCAAACAGATTGCGTCATTTTTTCAGGATTACTGCCTAAACACAGCACTTCGGCTTTGTCTCCAGAAGGGTGCAGGGGGAGATGGGACAGACTAGACGCAGAGCGTTACGTGGGTACAAACTGGCAGCACGAGGATGAGAAAAGATAGATAAAAAGGTGACCAATTGCTCTTTCTGGGCTACCATATCGCACATCCTCACTTCAGAGTGCCTAGACGACCCCATCAGGGCTTCCCTCCTGGAGTGACAAGCTGGGTATCCAACTCAAAAGGAAAAACCGAGCGCGCTCTCCTTCTCTGGTGAAGAGCTTTTTCTTCTTTCCTCACCTGTTTTGCAGCAGAGGCCCATCCAACACACGGGGCTCTGCTTGGGGCTCCGAAGGGGCCACCGGCGACTCCTGGGTGGAGGGACCATCCGCAGGCAGCTTGGCGGTGACAAATTCAAGGACATACTGCAGCATGTCAGGCAAGGGGAAGCGGGTTGGGCCAGAGCCGTACTGCATGTATCTAAAGGGCCAAAGCACGAGACTGTTTTAATAACTGAGGAAGAGGAGGATTCTGGCAACTGAGAAAACACAAACAAGCCTGATGAATGTGTGTAAATTAGTGACCAATGGTCCTCAGGGGGTGTTAATACACAGCAGGTACACAACGTGGTAAATGCACCTTGCACGCACCCTGCCTGCTTCCTCACACCTTGAGTGCTCTTCACGGACCAGCCCTCAAAACAGTCTGGATGGGATCCTCTCCCCCACGCAGGGTTTTTCCTCCCACTCATGGGCTCTCCCCCGTGCACACGGTTTCTGTCTTGCTTGGTTGGATCCTCAGTAAAGCAGAGGTGCTAGGCTACAAAAACTTGCCCCTCTGCTCTGCTCAACCTTCCCTTATCTCTAAGTCACTCTCTTGGTCCCCACCACCCACCACCCCCTTATCAGGAGTCTCCCAAGAGCTCAAGAAACTACATTTTTCCTATGGACTATTCGGCCTATTGAATATTGGACTTCTTTGCTCACTCTCACCAATACAGAGCCCAATTTTAATGGTGGTGTCTATCCTACACACAACTCTTGACACATGGAGCCAAGACTAACTTCATCCTACATTCAATGAACCCAAGAAATGGCCTTGCCAGGAATGGTTACATCTAAGGACTGCAACCCCATCCATGACTTGGCCAGAGAGCATCCAGGGCTGGGAAAAGCGTGCACCTAGCTTATCTCCGTGGTTTTGAAATCTGGCACCACAGATGAGTCACAGCAGTGGCCACCTCAAATTTAGTTTTTTTTTTTTAATTTCCTTCTAATAGCTTTCCTTCAAATAGTTTTTTGCCCCTCTCTGCAAGTTTTCTTGGAAGATGCAAACAAGACAGGATGTGATCGTATCAGCTCTCAGGAGATTTTACCACCCCTTCAATTCTCCTCTGAAATATGAACTTTCATTTCTACCCGGGAGAACCTTTACAATCTTTTCTCCTATGCCTGAAGAAGTGTGTTTGTGCCCGAAACCTTGCAGTTAAAGTTTTTTTTTGCAAAAATCGAGTTGGTCTAATAAAAGATATCGCCTCTACCACGAGTCCTGATTCCTATCAGCTCTCAGTTTATTCATCACAAGATAAATTTACCAGGGACTTAACAGCTGACAATGCAGCAACCCCCGCTTTTCTCTTTATTTAGGAACGCTAGCATACGCAGAGCCTCTACTTTGTAACGTGCTTCAAGAGAAGCCAGGTACCAACTTCCACACGGTAGAAACCTGGCTGCTTACCTTTCCAGTTTCTCCTGTAGAACTGCGATTTGCTCTTTTAACAACCTGATCTCCTCTCTCTTCTTCTGAATGGCCTCTTTACTGCTGTACAAGTACCTAAAGAAACAATACCCCACAAAAGTCACCGCACGATGTACACACACTTCTCTCTTGCACGCAAACGTGATGTGAACCCTCCCTGTTCCCAGACGCTCGCCCCTCTGCTGCTCAAGTTACAATAAAACAGAACAAGTGTAAAGCAACAGTTCTGATATCTATCCAGCAACATAGCAGCTCACCGGTCCATATAAATTATCTGAGGGAATTCAAGCTTCGTGTGAATCTTCTCCGGCTGCCCCAGCGATTGATTGAATTCAAACCGGGAAAGCTCAAAAGTCAATACTGGAGGGAGCTTCGTAAACCAGCGCTGCGATACAAACAGAAATGTCCCGGCAAGGACAGGTTTTGAGAATATTGCTGCGTGACGTGTTTTATTTCCAAACATCACTACCCACCCCCCCGCCACAAAAACGCTTCCTCCTTTAAATGGACAAAAGTACATATAAGTCGTTGAACGGCTAGTCAGGAAGTCTGAAGTTACAAAACCTAAAAGATTGACTTCCATTTCAGATTTTCACTACAGAAAATCTGGTTGATTATCAAGTCCCCAACCCCACCCCCCCGTGCACTCAGATAGACAGACTGTCAAGCACTGGATTTAAAAAAAGCCCCTGGAGAATGGCCTCGGAGTTCCTTCGCAATGCAGCCGGCATGCAATGGACATCGGCAGACGGCGGCTTTTACCCGAGACTTGGACACTCATCAATTCTCAGTTTATTCATCAACTGTTCAACTTCCGAGGTTCAGACAACAGACCCAATGTCCCGGGCTCTGGGCTTTCTCTAGCTCCCACGTTTCACAAATACCTCAAACATCCAGTGCCAGAAGAATACTCCACCCAGCTCTGCAGGGTGTCGGGCGGACAGTGCTCTCCCCTTGCAGGCTCTGGACAGTACACTAGGGTCATTGTGCTCTGAAAGACCTGTATCCTAAGTCTTGACACAATTTTCCTCACCACCCCCCCATCAAAATGCACCAGCAAGTTTTTTTAAGTATAAAATAATATTTAAAATGAAAGGCAATCTTATTTACATATACAGAGGGAAGTCTGTAAGTCCCCTCAAAAGACAAAATGTACCTTATTCTATCTCCCCTACCATGCAGTCTTCCAAGCACAATATTCTAGGAAGTGAAATCAAGCATACATTTCCAGTCACGTATCTTAGCAAAAAACCCGCCAGCCCGACTTGTGCTTGGATAGCAGCAGAATACCTAGGAATGGTCCCTTAATTACAAATAAAAAAAAGTTTCCCCTAACCTTCAGTGCAGGTTTTAAAAGAACTGGAAACTCAAATAAAAAAAAGGACCTCTGGGAATCATGCCCTGGGCCCCTTCACCCCAACGCTGCAACATCAGTCCGGCTACAGGTCTGCTTCAATTGTGTCTGGGCAGCACTTGCACAGAAGCAGACACTGCCAGCATGAGACAGTTGATTCTCAAGTCCAATGGGCTTTATTAACAAGTTATCCTGAGTCTAGAAGCTGCTCCCTTTTTTTATTGAAGCCATTCCAACTCCTCTTTCAAACTCTTTTCTAGTGAGAGTGAAACTTTCTTCTCCCTCTCTACCTGGATGCCCAGCCCTCTCAAATACCTCCTGAGCGCTGTCTACACCACCTTTTTAACATTCCCTACATATTCACTCCCTTCCTCTGCCTTCACATCGCATCGCTTTAGCTGCCCTTCTCTGCAGTCTACCTTTCTTTATAGAGAAGTGAGGCTGAATGCAATGGACGCATCTTATTTTTCACTTTGTCACAAAATTAAGTAGCTTATGATCGGCTCATGATTTGAGTGACTTCAGAAAAAAGGAGAAAAAAAAATCAGCACAGGCAGAAAATTTAAGAGTGAAAATGAGACAGAAAAAAAATACACACTGTAATAGGGAGAAGAGATACAAATTCCAAATGGCATACCATCGAGTTAAGCACTGAACTTTACCCTCCGAAAATATGGAGGCAGTGGGTCTCCCCCTACTCAGGTACAGGTAAGCTTCAACAGAAAGAAAGAGACTTTATCACACTTACACATCAGAGGCAGAAGCTTTTTTAAAAAGGTCAAGTCCTTGAGTATATTACACAGGACAAAAACATCTTTAAAAAGAAGCTAAGGCTCAGCGACTTCAGCATCAACTCAGACATTTAATATTCACATACATTTACATTACTCCGGCTCGCCACCGAATGTTTTACAATTGGTTAGGGGGAGAATGTTTTCAGTGTGCATTTGAAATGTTCGGGGTACACAAAGGCCTTCTGCACTATACTAATGATACCCTTTGGAGAAGAGCAAGTAACACATCAAACCAACCTCTTGTCCGTATTTCACCGATTGAGTTGTTGCCTTCTCATCAATCTCCCCCTCTACCATGGCCCCTTCCAAGCACTCGGTCAAGTCCCGATAACCGTTTACCTGAAGGGGATACTGGCCAAAAGCCTCTATCTTGGAAAAGGTCTTGCCTGAAGAAGGGAAAGGAAAAAGAAGAAGAAAACTGTTCAGGATCAAGAAAAAAAATGTTTTTTAAGATCCCTCTGGTGCTTAACTTGGCACAAGCAGACATGCATTTCCTACAGACACAATAGACTTGTATCTGCCAATGAGATCTCAAAGCAAATCAGTCAAAGTTGTGTAGCTGACAACAATATTAGAGAAATTTGCTCCCTGTAGTCAACACTCTCCAGAGAAGAGACCCTTTTCAGACCTATGCATAAGCAAGATGCCAATTAGAGGATACCAACTTTGCATTATACATATCAGCACCAACACAACTATGATCAGATTATCTCTACGCTTACTGTAATGCAGAAGGATTAGATAATGTCACCAAGGACTTGCGACAACACACCATGCTACACACCCACATTGGAGACGTAACTCTGTGGTAACACTCAAACCAGTCAAAGGGCTTGCAAAGGAAACCCAAACACCCGAACTTACCCTCGTGGATCCCTTCGGTCAGGAAAGTCCCATAGAAAAGTTGTACCATTGGGTTTTCAGATTTGTCTCCAGGGCTGCTGCTTTCCGAAAGGAAAAGTGTGCATTTTGTTACATGGAAATGGAGCACGAGGGTAAATGCCACCTACTTTTGCAAGACTCTACATATTAAAGTGTTAATTGTGATTATGTCCCCAGTAGTTATCTGGCACGTAACAAAATATCATTAGAATTACCATGACTAAGAGAAAAGCAAAGCAAAATCGGCCCTCAGCTGGGACACTGGGAAAGTGGCGCGCATTTAATGCTAGCATAGTGCTATTTATGAAGCTATGTTTCCAGCAATGGGGTATTAATAAGGACTCAAATTCAACCTCTAAGCTTCAGCCTGGGGCTTCTGAGACTTTGACTAAGTGCAAAGGAAATAAAGTAATCAGTTTATACTAAAGCTAATGGGTAATTTCTACCTTACCAAAATGTCTTTCACCAAGGACCTTGAGAAGCTTTACAAATATCGTCCCTCCTGTTACATAAATGGGCAAAGTGATGCACTCAAGTGGAAGCAACTTGCAGAGGTTAGTTTAAAAAACACACCAGTCGCATAGTAAGGGTTGCAGTGTAGGAGTCCAGGCTACTTGTTCCCTCCCCGATGCCATACTTTATTTGTTCCAGCTGCATTTGGACTCTAAACTTAAGCCACAATTTATCGTGGCCTTTTATCCCTAACACTAAAAAATTCCTCTTCTTCTCTTCAACTGTAACACTTGCGAGCAGACTGTAAAAAGCAGCTGCTATTCATGAACTGTCAACCTGTGCACATCCACTCGCTCCCAGTTAAACCAGACCTCACTATTAACAATGTCCTACACAATATGAATTTACCCCACAAGCCATAATAAATCCCAAAAGTAAGATGCTCATAAATCCATCTCAAGAAGTTACTTAGCAGCTTGCGCGCTCTTTAGGTCACGATGGCGTTGAGTAAAGTCATGTATCCAGGCACAAAATGAAAAGCTGCCTAGTAGGAAATAGGACTATCCTGCCCGACTCAATGAAGAAACGTTTCTTAGTCGGGTCAAAGGCCTGATTAAAACTCCTGCCACGGTTGACTTAAAATCCATTCTTCCTTCAAAATAAGTGAAAGCTGACCCAACCTAAGACTCACTTAACGTTAACAGCTAGCTGAAACGCATCCTCCAGCCAATCCAGAAGTTTGTGGGTGAATTCGCTCACATCTTGCTAAAGAGAGACAGAAACCAGAGAGTCAGTCATTTCACTGAGAAAATGCTTTGATACTTCACTAGTCTTACATTTTTTTCAAATACGTGCCCAACACCATTGCAGGCTTTCTAGCTACCTGGTTATCAGGTTAACCTGGGGAGGAGGGCTTTAGACTATGCCCTACAGGGGTTGTTGATAACAGACTGCTGGATACTGCGCAATTAGGATCTAGGAAGTGGGAAAAGGGGCAGGAAACCATAATAGGGTTTTTAAAAAAAAGGATGCAAGCAGAAAAACAGAGGGGAAGTCTGCAAAATGTAGACTGTAAATCCTAACCGCAAGAACAGTACGACAGAACAAGCCGCCTAGGGAAACTGTGGACTTTCCCTTCACTGCAAATGTTCAGAAAAAAGCCAGATAGTCAGGGTGATTTAGGAGCAATGAATCCTGCATCTGTGCAAGGGGCTGGGCTGACTCCTGAGGTCCTTTCCATACCTATGATTTTATTCTGAGCTAACTGCCTCAGGGTACATTCTTACCCTGCAGTAAATGCAAGACATAGCTCACTGCTCAGTGGTAATAGGGTAAGCTGCCTCACATTTACCGTAAGGTAAGAGCAGGCCCATAGGCAATGACCCCAGAGTTGCTGATGCACTGTAAGTTCACACCCTACCTCATTGCATGATAAATGGTTCACGTGGCCATAAGTCAAGTCACAAGAAACTGCCCTGGGGCATAAGGAAATGCACCATGCTTCCAACCCGGCAGTCACTTCCAGCCCACTGTGGACCACCAGACAGAGGGTCACACACGGGCTGTTTCTCCTTGTTTTGGAAATCTTGTGCATTTTACATACGGGCAATGACACCGGTCACTGTACTTCTACCTGCCAGGTGACAACCATGTATCCGCTAGAAACCCCGCAGCACCAAGTGCAACATGACTGACATCTTTGCCAGGGCTGTCGTGGTAAAAGCAGACAGGATTTTTAGGCATTTTACCTGCTGCTCTTCAGCTGTTCTAAACGCCTCTCTCAAAAGCTCCAGCGCTGCAGTGGGGTCCACAAACCTACGGTGCGTTCCCAGCATTAAGGCAAAGAGACACTGAAGTTCCTGCATGAAGGCAATATTTCTCTTTTCCTGCATTAGAAAAGATAAGCACACGACAGTTTAACAGAACAGGAAGAAAAGCAGCAACTCCAGAGTGCACGTGCTACTGACTTGGTACCAGTATCTCCAGAGGTACACGTACAAGGCCACAAAAGGGACATGAGTAAAATAGACAATCACAGAGACTTGTTCAAGGATCTCTCTCTGGTAGCAAATTCAGCCTTGAGGTAAGAGAACTGAAAACCCTGCAGTAGTTCCCGAAGGTGGGAAGTCTAGTTTGGAGAGGTACCAAAAGTAGTAGTATTGCACCTCAAATACGAGCACTGAGATGCTGCATTTCATTTTCAGACAGCAGATTTTGGGGGTTAATAATGATGGCCAAGGCAGCAAGTGCAGAAGCAAGTCATGGATATCTGGTCCCATAAGGGAATTTAATACAGGACACATTCCCCACCTTCAGTTTGGGAGAAGGGCTATGAAGGAAGCTCTCAACCATTTCTGTCATTTCTTAAGGGTTACCCAAGAACAATTTCCTTGCTTTGAGCAGCCAGATGTTTTCAGAATCACCAGCTGGGCCACCTGCATCCTCTCCTTTTCTTGCAGACAAGCTCCACTCCAGAAGAAAGGGGGGAGAGGGAGACGGAGGAAATGCCACACTATTCCTCTGTTAGGACTTACGTTGCGACTTCGACAGTTCTCAAGCACGCTTTGTGGGAGAGTGTAACCAAGGACCAGCCTCCGAAATTCTGGCAGCTGGAAAAGAGACTGAAAGGGGAGAAGAGTCAAAGGCCAGGTAAACACAAAGCCTGGTTGTAGCTGTCCTTTGCCAAGTCTGTGCCTTTTTCATACAGTGCAGGCTCAAACTCTTCACTGCTTTTTTCCTTGAAAATTTAAATCTCTAACAGCGCAGCAGTCTACCAAAGCCAGCTCAGAGTGCTTCCTGCCCTGCAACCTTTCCCTTCAACTCTCTTCCCATCCTCCCAGCTACAGTTTTAAGCTAACCTGTTGGCAAGCCCTTTGGAAGGAGGGGGGACGGATCTTCCATCGCACAAAGGAAAGCTGTGACAGAGGGCAGGGGCATTAATCATGACCCCAAAGAAGCATCTGACACCTGCTCCCCCTTCTCCCCAAAATAGAAAGACGCCGCCCCACGTTTATCTGCTGATGCCGGTGTAAAAAGAACTAGGTGTGTTAGGTTTCTCTTTCTGCTGTCTCTTCTCATTTAACTAATCACTAATAATGCACCCTGACTAGTTTCTTATTAGTTCGGGCACCTAAGCTACTGTGTTCCATTAACTGGAATCTGATACACTGTGCATTACGGAGCCAGGATTTGTTCCAATAAAATTACATTACCACCACTTTGCCAATCTGGTTACTGTCATCCAAGAAGCATGGTGACCTCACTGCATCATGAAATGGAGTGCACGGGGGTTAGCCACAATAAATAAAAAGCATATTCATAGACCCTTTCCTTTACATTGGAAGTCTGGCCCTGCTGGTAGCTGGCTCATGGTTTTGAGTAGTCTCTGTTTGACATAGGGCCGTGCAAAACAGTTTTCTCCACTGGAGTTTACAAATTGAAGCAGAAAGCCGGTGGGTCCTCACAACTGGGTCCCATAACCCAATTTTAAAAAATGCAAAAAACTCACAAAATCTGCACAAGAGGATCAATCCCCACCCCCAGGTAATCGCTGCTATTACTGTCAAATTCCTGACAGCTGGCTGGCTTCCTATGACCCATTTGCTCATGACTTGTCTCATGGCAGTGTTGTGGGGATTATTCAATTGCTACTAAAGCGCATTTTAACCTCTACATACCAGGCATTACAGAAAGGCAACGCATGGCCGTCACTATTACGCATTACCTGTATGACAGCACTAAACCAGCACGTGTTTCCAATGTTTTTCAATCCAACAGGCCAGTCATCCACCCTCCTCCAGTTGTTTTGGTTGGGATTCTCTCCCCAGACTTCACATCGTTTCCTTTTGGAGCGATTTTTGTTTTCTGCAGCATTGGTTTCGTGGGCCCTGTCAGAAAGGTTGAAAAGGCAAATGCAAGCTTGCAAGAAAGCACCTTCAGAGTGTCGAGCTCTTTAAAAGGAGATGGAAATTCATACTGGCAAATCATCCCATGTAGTAAAGTAATCACAGTGGAACCAGACCAAAGGAGCTATACTGTCATCCCAAGCAGGAGACATTTATGAAACAGTGTCTCACGCTGACATACAAAGCCTGTCACCTCTAGGTCTACTTTGTTCTCGTATATATTACAGAAGAACCTAACAGTATTGAGCATTAAGTCTCTACTGACATCCTCTCTGCCTCAAAGAGTTTCCATTCTTGGATGGAAAGATCAGCAATCTTAGATTGCGACAGGCAAACAGAAATCAGAGAGGATGGGGAGGATGAAACAAGGTAAAAGTACAGTACAACACTTCTTTTTTTTTTCCTATAAGCTACTTGCGAGCAGGATTTGTGGTCTGAGTATATCACGTGTTATATTAGAGACAAATCCAGGACAAATCAAACCCAGTGCATAGCCACCAAGTGTAAGGCTGCTTCATAACCTGCTTAAAATGAGTTGAAGGAGGCAGTCCTGGTGCCAGTTTTTAAGGGACTGATACCCACGGCACTAAAGCCTCCATGCAGATGATGTTAGCAGGCATGGCAAGGAGTGACTAGGCTGCGTGGAGAATGAGCCTTTCACCCCTGGGTGTGTATTACAGTGCTAGCACAACAGTCCCTCCAAATCACATCTGTGAAATGTGGTTAAAATCTCCAGTGTGATAATTTAAGCACCTCCCAAGAGCTCTAATAGATGGAAGTGAATGAGTAATAAAGGGTTTTTTTCCCCCCCAGTTGTTACAAATGTACCAGGCATAAAGACCACAGAAGCATTTACAAGAGCAGGAAAAACACTTACATATTCACTGACCCGTTAGCATCCCTTTCCACTGTTTGGACTTTCGGAGACTCCATTAAGCTGAGAGCAATGACTGCTTGGAGGTCATCTTTGTTATCCGGTGCTAGATCAATCACATCTGGGAATTGAAGGAGAGTTTTTCATCACTTTTAAGCCAGAAGCAGTAAAACCCCGTTCTAAAAGCAAAGGCCAAGTATTATCCCCACTTTGTGTCATAAATATCACTACCCTAAAATGCAGAAATGTTATTTTCTGCTGCAAAAGTAAACCAGCTCCTTGTCCTTTTGAATTTCAAACAAACAAAATTTAAGATCGGAAAAAAATCTGGGCGGAAAAGGAATGCGCTCCATGATATTTAAAAGCATGATTCAGATACTGGGGTAGCAGGCAGCAACAGCTTGGACTGGGATTAGTAATGGCACAAAGGAAGAAGGACCCAGTGCTCAGTGCTTTGACTTGATATTTGATATTCTTAGTATCAGCGTTAATTAACAGACTGGCTTGAAGGAGAAATGGGTTTCAGTTTAATGTTGTTTGCACAAGAACTTAGAATTAAATTCAAACTCAGACACTATGTATTACTGGTCTCCCACTGTCTCTTGCAAATGTTCATTGATGAACCCATTTTATTTGCCATCTAGAAGAGTAGAGAAAGCCATAATTTTGGAAGAAGCAGGACTTTAAAGAACAGAATAAAATGCAGGTGAGCACGTGAAGTTAAAACTCGTGCATTAAGCAGGGCAGTTTTTTTAATGTTGTGCATAAAAGGCAACTCAATAAAGAAGCACGCTATTTCTGTGGTATATTTACATTTAACATAATTAAAACCTCAGTCCACTGAAAACAATTCTTTAAATTTAGATTTAGAGCAATAGTCCCTGTATTTCAGCTTATTTTTATACGGATTTTTTTTTTTTTTTAATTTTATAAGATTAAAAAAAAATCAATTTCAGGTAATTACATTCTAAAGTCCCAGGAACCCAGCAGGAAGGTTCTCAAATGGCCTGTCTGTGTAATCTAGCAGTCAGGATCTTCACTTCAGATGTGGGTAACATGAGGCTGATTTAGCTGCCTGGCAGCAAGAAGCTATTGAAACGTGGTGAAATAAGCCCCTCCTAGCAGTTAAAAATACTTGTCTGATCTGCAGGTTTTGGCAACGCAGCTCCTGGCTCTCTTTCTAACTAGGCTACAAGGCAGAAAACAGCTCTGGGCATTTCTCTACATCCAGGAAAAAAGAGTGCAGCAACCTACGTTGTAAGATCTGTCTACCTAGGATTAATTAGCATTAACCATATTATAGCAGCCACCGGCAGCAGTGCAGTGGTGTCCAGGTGGTAGAAAGGGTGGACTGAAGTGTGACGGGAGACCAGACCATTCTAGCTTGTAGGAAAGCCGATCTACTCTAGTTCTCCAGGCTAAAAATGTCCAAATCATGTAAGTCCCTCTGAGTTTAGGTTCCCTAGAAACTCAAGTGCTCTTGAAAACTTGGCACCCTTCGTGCATGCTGCTTAATGAAGATATTAATAGGGACACCTCCATTCACTTAGAGTGATTATCCTGGTAGTAATTTCAGTCCTGGATGCCCGAGGAACCTTAAAAACGTGAAGTATTTGAGCGAATGAACAACAGCTTCATCACCCAAAAGACAAACTAGATAGTCTGGAAGTGCCAACACAGAAAGCCAGACACAAAAGAAAAAGTTGGCTGGGTTGTTGGTAGGCTGGACCGGTCAACAAGGGAATGTAAGGTTCAAAAGGAAACGCTGTGAAACGTCTTCTGAAAAGTCTCTGGGAAAAATTAGATGGAAGAGTCGAACTTCTCCTTGCAGCAAGCAGGTGTTTGCTTGAGGAAGCTCATGCAGGAAGGATGTACAAGCCAAATCCTCTATGCCGCTATCTATGTGGGACCTCACATGACAGGAGGCTACAAGCTTCCAGGAAGAGCTGCTGCATGCTTAGATATTTTCCAGTCAGACAACTGACCTTTTGAAAAGAACAGCACTTCAAAGTCACCATCTGGTACATGAAATCATTTCATAGCCCTACAGCCAGTATTCAGTTATTACCCTTTGCTTCTCAAACACTATGAACGGGCAGAGAGCTTTCACTTCCTCTTGGCCTCATGAGTTAAGGTCTGCCACAAAAAATTCTTCAGAGACACAAGCCTGGGCAAAGCCCATCAAGCACCAAACTCTTCTAGTCCTCAACAATAGGATTGCCTCTACTCTATATTCTCACTACAACATCCAAGTCTTCAGGTCAGCTAGCAGAGCCTTCCTTCTTAAGCCTTATATTGCCATTGCAACTGTTCCTGGTTTGTTTGTTTTCTTCTACTACGTGACTCAGATTTGGAAAACGAGTCATTTTGCCCGTGACTTCAGAGGTGTTCAGTTGACCAGCAGTGGAAAACTAGTTCATGCCAGATGCTGCCTGACAACCGAAGTGATTTTACTTTTAGCTGACAAGGACACCCCTGCGCTCTCAGCTGTACTCGTCCCATCCAAGAAATGCAGTCCAGGAAGAGCACGCACCAACTGCAGAGACTTCCTCAGCCTGACGAAGGGTTTTTAAACCTGAAAGCTTACTAAAAATGTTTTTTTTCTAACTATTTAAATTGGTCTAATAAAAGATATCAGATTCACTCAAAGAACCTAATCTATCAATTGTTCCTTGCAGTCCTAAACCGGTTCAAAACAAAATCACAGCTTGCCATGAGCATCTTGGGGGACAGAAACCTGGCAGGACCGGGGCTTTGTGCTAGCTTGCAAATGTCCCATCAGTGACAAGCCCCCGTCTGTGTTAAAAATGGGGGATCACATGTGACCATGATACTCTAGGTGAGAGCAAAGCACCTACCGGTCCGCAGTCCCTTGCCCGCAGCACTCCCTTCGCCGTTGGACGGTTCTGCAGCAACGGCATCCTGGACAGGCTCTTTAACCTGCTCCTCGGTGAGGATGGTGACGGCTTCTGTCAGATCACCGTTAGCGGCCTAGGAAGAGCAAGGAGGGTTAAACCAGCCATTATTCTGAAGCTCTTTTATATACATATGAAGGAAAATAACACTCTGGTCCCAAATTGGCTGGCCACAGCAATACGCTGACAGCCAACACTGGGGAGAAACGAAGGCTTTGCACTTAGCATCTCTCACGTGACAAACACTTTGCTTCATTAGTTTGACACTACAGATGGTGTTAAATAAATTCTAGCTTCCTGGAAGGACAGCACAATGCTTCAAGGACTTATACACATGAGTGGTTCCCCTAAAACCCAGCTACAACTCGGTTCCAAGTTGAGCACACATTTAAGCACCCTGCTGAATTGGGGCCTTATTAACTGGCAAGAGTGCTGCATTTCTCAAGAGATCACAGATGCAGCCCCATGTATGGCTTTATCTTTTATAAATAACCACACAGAACAAGTAAAGGGAGCGACAGGAACCACATATGCAATACTAACAGCGCAGCCCATTTCCCGAGAGACTGGCATACCTACTTTTATTTTGAATTGCGTTCCATTATAGACAGCAAAGCAGCAGCCAGGTCTGCAAACACACACGACTGCTCCTCTTTGGAAACTCAGTCATCCCCTTAGATACGATCTAATATTTTACAGCTATTCCCATTTGAACAAACACTGATGATTTTTTTCATTTCTTTTTTTTTTTTTAAAAGAATCATCCGCATAAACAGCTAATTTCCTGCTGACACACTTCAAAAGGTTCCAGATTGATAAACTTAGTGCTCTACCATGACGATTATAAATATTTTAGCGTGTGCGATGGGTAGGGAAAAGCATTTCTTCTCTCACTTTCCAAGACAGCTCGCGTACTCTACTTTATAACGTAGATGCGGGGCTCCCAAATAGTGGCCTGTGAGGCCATGGCGATGAGTCTGCACAGAGCATCCCTCTGCCCTCCTTCCAATTACAAGTTTGGCTGTTTCACAAGACCGGGGAGGGATTCATCCTGGTTGGTTAGTCCCAAAGGTCTGAGACCCGCTGGCACAGATCACGGTGTTGCCAGCTCTGCCAATACATCCCCATGTATGAAAGCATAAACCTCAGGTCTTTGGATGCATTTTCCCACAACCCGGTGTTCCAAAAACAGGTTTAAAGCAAAGAAAAAAAAAAGAAAAACTTTATTCTATCCCACCTTGGGCTTTTGTTTAAGCTTCAGTATGTACAGAAAGCAGCCTGCTCAACATAACATTGAATCCTTCCAGGTAACACATACGCAGTTTCTATTTAATGCTGCGTGTACATGCAGCACGGGTTTTTAAGCCCTGCTGTTGGAAAAATGAGAGTTCGTTATCTACTGTAGGCTATTGAGTTTCAAAAGTCAGCAGGGCTATTAAGCCAAAAAGACCATGCCTTCCTGCAGTACCATCACCTGCTGTACTCAGGTGTCCATTTGGGTCGCTGATGTACTTAAACTAACAGAAGTTAGAAGTGGGAGAACAAACAGTGACTTGGGTCCACTTCCAGCACAAACCAAAGTGCTCTCCAACGCATCTATATTGTACTACTTCATCAAGGCTACTTTTGAGTGTCTAAAAATGGTATATACGATCGTTCCTATAAAAATGCCTAACAGATCTTTGGCTTTTGAAAGATGCTTACGGAGAGCTCTTTAACACTTACACAGAGGTTATAAACTGAACCAGCACGAGGCAATGGAAAAAAAGCCGAGATTCGCTTCCAAAAGAACGGCGATGGCACAAACTAACCTTCAGGGCATTGTGAAGACAGGACGGATCCTGAATCCCTGTGATTTCTCTCAACTGGTTTAAAAGCATCTGGCAGTCCTATATTAGAGGGCACAAAGAAAGATCCTGTAAGAGAAGGTGACTGAGAAAGAGAGATGCAGTTACCAAGGACTTGCTCATATTTCTCACCAATACCGCGGGCATAAAACCCGATCTTAGATGAGTCAACCCCCATTTCTTACATTCGCTCTATTTGGATGAGGACTGTAAAGTCTTTTGTATTTGAGACAGCATATGAAAAAGGGCTGCTAGAGGTGATACAGCCTAAGTGCCATGAGCGGTGCTGGCGGGCACCGATTCCCTCCCCCCATCCCCATGTATTCATTCCTCCCAAAGTGGAGCGGCATGTGCACTGGGACATATAAGGAGCCCAGGGAATTCGCCTGGGATTGATGGAGGGCTATTTTAAGCCTGGCTGCACATGCCATTGGTGCATGTCATATCTCACTTACAATGAGGTGTCAGAGATACAGAGCACAAGGGGCCTGGAGGCTCCTCTTCCCTGCCCCCACAAGCCACTTGGCTGTTTTGTTGGCCAACG